AAATATAAGGCATTCATTGGTAGACTGTCAATAATTTTGATGCAGAATTAAGAATAAACAAATTCTTTGAAATTAAATTTTTAACGAACAGTTTATTCTTTATTATTATTGATTGATAGTTCTTTAAAAGATTTTTAGTTAGTAATTTAAATTTTCATGATAAAATTACTTCACATACATGATACTTAACGCAGGGATACCACTTATACCTTTCCCTCTGCATTCAGATTAGCTTTTTTCCAAGCATAGCGAGACAACTATTTTATAAAAGTATCTTCCAGTTTAATAGTTAAAATTTGTTCAGTCATACATTCGACATGAAAAATACTCAATACGTCAAACCATTCATTTAACACAGTATAATATCAATGCCGCCACAAATGGTTTTAAAGTTAGTGGGCTGACTGCTTTCCATAGCACTTACTTGTTCAGGGTATGAATCGCGTTTGAGATTCGAATATTTGTGATTGTAACGTTACGTAAGGTTACTCGAATACGGTAAAGTATACAAGGGCTATCTGCCTAAAGGAAGGGATATTTTCGTGGAAGATTCTCTAAGGAAAATTGGCTCGCATTCACATTACTCATAGGTAAAACCACAAAAATTAACCATGCAGCCAGCTCGTTCGTATGGGTTCGAACCCGGGACGAACAACCAATATTCAGTGTTTTTAACCGCTCGACCTCTGGTGGGGCCGTGTGACTGCAATGTCTTTGCAACATGATGGTATTTAAAAGTCTATCGAGTTCGACGTACTCTCGATAGACTGGTAATAGGAAAACAGATATCCGAAACTCTTTAATTCCATTCTATACAAGCATCTCAATTTTAATATGAAGGTAAGATGTGTGTCCTTGCATAGTTTGACCACTATACATAACATGAATATAGGTGTTATTTTTATCAGTACTAACAAATGAATCGTACCACTAGTACTTGTCTCTTGCTACCGATATCATTGTTATTTAATATTATTAAATTTTAATGTTACAATATTCTATTTATTATTGTACACTTGACTAGTATTTTGCATATTTAGCTTGCGTTACCTGGTTTAACCTTTTTTCATTATATTCATTGCGTATTACTTTCGCATGTTTTGTATATTCAGAACATGCGGCAGACTAATCTTTGCACCAATATTGCAGTTTTTCTGTGTATCTTGCTTAGTAATATTTTATGTGCTTGTATTCTATACCTGATCATGTCTTGCCCGGCGCAGGTGTAACTTCTATGTAACATATTAGTCTGTTAGACACATAAGTCTGGTTGAGATGCCATCCGTACAAACCGAGGTTTAGAAGTTATCGTTTCCACTGCCGGTTGGATAAGTTAACTACCCAACCGGCATTGAAACTATAACTTCCAAACCCCGCTGGAATTTTTTTAGTCCGCTAGGACTTGCACTGACAACGAACTAAAAGGGACACTTCAGTTAAAATTAACATGGAACTCGGGGAAAACATACGAGAGCTATCTATCAAAATTAAATAGTACCATCAACTATCTGGTTGTAACGAAAGTTTTTGGCCAAAAAACATTAAAAAAAATTTAGAGAAAAAAACACATGAAAGCAGTACCTTTAGTGCGGGTAGTAATCACCACCCAAATATATGATTTTTCTGAAACGTTTTGGTATTATTTAATGCCTTTGGACCAGAAACTTGGTGACCGCAAGTCCAAACACAAATCAACTTCATTTCGGACGTCCTGTGCAGAATGGCAGCTAGCACCAGCAAGATGTAGCTGCAGGTGTGAAAAAAGGTAGAGGTACGAAAGAGCGATGTCAAGGCTATATGGTGGGTGTGGCAAAAGATCCCATTCGAGTCCGTACAGAATCCAGCTGGTGAATGCAAACACATGTGGTCTTGCATTATCTTGATGTGCTCCGGAATTCACTTCGACGTTTCTCCTTGATAGTAGCGTCAACACGGACTAGCATCCCGCTGTACACCCTTACTATCGAGAGTTTTACCTTTTTTCAGATACTCTTAGTGGCTATTACCAAGACAATCCAACCAGATACAAAGTATGATCTTTTTGTTAGTCAAACTGCACTTTGCGACGCTGCCGACGCACCGGGCGCAGTCTAACCCCATTTTCGGCCTATGTTGTTGAAGTAACCCACTTTCCATCGCAAGTGACGATCCGGTCCAAAATGTTGTCCTTGCGTGGATTAAAATAGAATAGTGCAGCCCCAAATACGTCTGTCCTTATCTGCTTGAATCAGCTCATGCGGCACCCAGCGATTGAAATTGTACGTCAAGTTTATGCGATGCATAGCGCGACTGGACATGGCACTATTCATTCAATATAATAACATCTAACTCCTTAAGCAAGCTCGCGAGTGGTTGTATACTGATCTTCTTTCGCAAGTTCTTGCAGGCGGGCCTCATCAACATCAATAGGCCCGCAGAGCGCCCTGCTTCTTGAATGTCATAGTCCTTGTTTTTGAGCTTCCGTTACTAAACCTTCACAGTGTCATATGATACAACATTTAGTACCTAAAGCTGTACACATGATATTTTGTAGTTGACTTTTTGAAACAGAACTGGAAGTAAATGATGATTCTAATCTGGTAGCGTGATGTTTCCATTTCAGACATCTTGTACTGAATGATAACGATATCTTTTTACAAATTTCACAATACAGTGTTCTAAAGCAAATCTTTCTTTCAAATGCCAAAAATCGTTTGACAAAATGATTAAACGCGCCAACGCGAATTGTTTGCGCAAACGATATTTGCGGTGGGGGAACGTTCATTAAAACCCAATATTTACCGATAGTTGAATGGTGTCGTTTTTAACAAATCAACTCCATAATTATACATAAACATAGCCTTTCTGAATTTACGAATAATTATGTGATAGCGAACCATCGCAAATTTATTGCTTTGGGGGGGGGGGGAATCACATTGTATCGAAGAAGGCATCAGTCAAGATAATGTAAAATGGAATTTTAGAGCTTAATTTATAATTATTATTAGAAATACAGTAAAAATGATAATTATAAATAAGAAGAAAATATAAATATTAAGAAGTATGGTATAAATATAAATACTAAGAAGCATATAAATAATAAGACATATGAAAATTGCTTTTTTTACTTTCTTCTACAAAGTAAAGGAAGTATTGTAATGCCGAAAAATTTCGGGTATCATATTTCATCAAAAAGTTCCATTTTGACCGATCTCGAATCCATCTAATCGATGTTTTTCCAATACATCTGTACTTACGAACACAATAAAGGCCTCTTTTTACTAAAAACGGATTGTAAAATGGATGTTTCATGACGTCTATACGTACGTATGTACAGAACCGGATTTATGCTTGGTTAAGGCCCTAAGCTATTTGAGATATGGGGTCCTTTATAAATCTGTGATACTATATTTTAATTTTTGGGGGGCCCCGAGAAAGTAGGGGTCCTAAGCTATAGCTTATGCACCTTATAAGTAAATCCTGCACTGCCTATGTATCATCTCACATAACTCAAAGAGTAGAAATTGTATATTGCTATTGTATTGTGAACCTTCATTTTTAGGTTGCACGCTTATATATATACCCACTCTGTTAGCCTGCTTGTCGAGCTCAGATTTCTATTCTTATATGTATGTTGTTAAACTGTGCGTTTTTTTTTTTTTCTTTAAAAGTTATTGTATTATGCCTTTCTTGTGTAAGGTATTTATGCTTTTAGTTAATCTGCATGCAATAGTTATGGAATTATCAACTATTTAAAAGTTTAAGTTGCGTTAAGCCTAATGGGGTCGCCATTTGTTTACATTTGAAACTTTTAGTAAAATAGTGACTTTTGGTGCACCAGCTTCAGTGTCTTTTTACACGGTGGGACCAAAACTTTCAATTTTCTTTACCGAAAAATCCTGCCGATTTTCCGTAGAAACTCTAATTTTAAAATTTGTTCTTTTAACTGTATTTGGTGTTTTATTTTTCTTGATTTTACAATTTTTAATGAATATGTTTTGAGTTTTCATGTATTTTTGCTTTGAGAACTGAATTAATTAAATGCGAAATATATCTCTAATAAGATTCGAGGAAATAAGTTTAAATGATATGCAGCAAAAAGTGTGTATAATTTAATAATCCAGAGAAGGAAGTCATGTGGTGTCCACATAATATATATTTTTTAAAATCACTCAAGTGTGTTAAGAATTCGATTTTCATTTGAAAACTAAATTAAAAATCTTACGAATCAACGAGTGCCGAATTTCTTTGAGAAACTTGCAGTTTCCTAGGTTGAATTGACAATAAATGTTTTGGTAGCATAACATAATGTAATATAGATTTAAACTCCTAATGGAAGGATATCTTGAGATATGCCTGACTGAGCTTGGAGACAATAAACTTGACATTTGGATAATACATTAACATGAGGGAAAATTTCTGAACAAACACAATATTTATTTATAAACATATCATCAACTATTGTTTCATCTAGCTATGTTTCTACAAAACATGGCTGTGCATTTGATTTATATATTTTGAAGTCATAAAATGGAAATTATGTGTTAATATTTCTTTAGAGTGTCGATTCATAATTGAGGAATGCAGTACAACTTTCAAGATGAAATTTTCTACTTCTGACAGTCATACCACCAACCTCTGGAGAGGACTTTCGGTTTGCCGCATATTTAGAGTTACCCCCATGCTGCACAGGCACTAGACATTTACAAACATCCATGTCTTCTCCGTGATTCGAAATCGGACCCTATGGTGAGTCAGTTAGCAAGGTGGCAAATTAAGAATCTAAAACCAGTATTTAAGGAAATAAAAGTGCACAGTAATATTTTTAAACTATATATGAAGTTTAGCAATTTTCTTGAATCCTATTCTTTTCCAATTTAAAAATTATTATTACAAGAAAGTATTCCTAAATTTAGAATTATAAAATCTCCCAACCAGTTTTACCAGTTCTTAACCAATTTTATATATAAAAAATATTATCAGTCTTTATGTAATTAACAAAAGGAATGAAGAGAACCAGATAAGAAAACAAATATTTAATACTAGCATTACACAAACTGTATTACACAGATAAAAATATATACACAAAAATATTTTACATATCTATTTTATTTATTGCTCCTCTACATCTTGGACTACAGGTAGCCTATACATCTTATTCATGATGATCTGTTTATCACCTTCTGTTTGTAATTCCACTCTAAATGCTGGAACACGGTCATCGGTCAAAAACAAATGCCCCTCATTTTCATTAATATCCATATGCCAAAGATCTCCAAAAAACCTCTTGATGATATTTTTCTGACATACATCTTGGTTTAATGAAACCATACGATGGCATGGCTGTCCTCTGCCAAAACAAATAAAAATAATTATTTTCATTCTAAAAAAAAAAAAAAAAAACTTATGTATATAATTATTCAAGTATTTATACTTTTGTCATGTGATAAACAAACAGAATTCTTATACAGTTTGAGAAGAGAGACAAACATAAGAAATCTTATAGATATTAGATCTAATATATATAAAATATAAAACTAAAAAGATTTTTTTACCAAATTAGGCTTAATTGGAACAATTTGACAAAAGACCTTTAAAGTATTAATTTTATAATAAAGTACAACCTCTTCAAGGCATCTGCATTACTGTAAACTTCTGTCGAATTGGCTATCCAGGCCTGAAACAAAGACTTTCCAAGCTTAGTACAGCAATTGACTTCATATCCTCTTTCGCCACTTCACCTTCCTGCTGGGTATGTGTTATTTAGCCTCTGCTAGCTATTCTCCACTATCTGAGAAGTAAACTTTCTTTCCTTTGATACCGCTTTCCCAGAAAACCATATATTTTCTGAAAGCTTATGTCACAAGTAGAAAAACTGTGAAATCTTAGGGGCAGAGGGGCAAGCGTTTAGGAGTTATAGGGCTCACAAAGTATCAGAAAAGTGATGGAAACATGACACCAAAAGTCGCTAAAATGCTCATTTCATGTGTTTACATGAGCTAATAATATGGCAATAAAGTGGGGATTTCAATATAAGGACGAAACAACTCGTTGAAAAGAAACATTATATGTTGGGATGTTGGAAATGTGACTTATTATTGACTTCAAACAAAATCTACTACAAGTGACAATCGAAGTGCAATTCACCAAATAAAATCTATTACAAGTGACAATCGAGTGCAATTCACCAAATAAAATCTACTACAAGTGACAATCGAAGTGCAATTCACCAAATAAACACTGAGACAGGCAGAAAGACAGTTAACATTCGGCACATTTTTCAAAAGTGATAGCCTAATACTTATTATCTGTGATAGCACACTGATTATCTGTCAATAAATCGAAGCAATAATCCATTGGCGCAATCCACATTCCAGGTTCGTCGTCCAAGTATCTGCCCTCATAAAAAGCATATTTAATCAAGTTCTTAAAACAAGGAGCGCTGAATTGATATAGTGAAAAAGACTGCAGGACCATAAAACTATCACAATGCCAAATGTACTTCTGTGCCCCAATGATTAGGCCGTTATGTAACAAACAAAACATTTGTAGTATCTGAAAAAATGAATATCTAGAGGCTGGATCTTTCCAGTAAATCCTTCAAGTACCAGTTCTTTTTGTAGGACTTTAACATCAAGTACTTCGGAAGCAGACAATGCATGAACATACAAAAAATAGAGACGCCATTACGAAAATATGTCCATCGATACAGACTTCAATAATATTTTGTGGGTTCTAGAGCTCCTAAACGCTTGTTCCTCGGCCCATAAGACCTAACAGTTTTTCTACTTGTGATATAAGCTTTCAGAAAATATATGGGTTTCCGAAAAACTAGTGTCAAAGGAGAGAATGTTTATTTGTGAGATGTAATTAAGTACATATCTAAAATTGGGGGGGGGGATTAGCAACTCTAGTATTCCATAAATTAAAGAGATAATATGCTGAGAAATTTGGAATCCAGAAATTTACTGAAAACTGTACCAACCCGGGAAATTCTCCCACGTTACCCCAGTCACATGGCCTGATGTATAAGCATACAGTAACAAAGCCCCCAACTTATTCATTCTATCTCTTTTCCTTCAGCAGCAGTCTTGCACCACTCAATCTATTAATGTGAGAAATCTTTACCTAACTAACATGCCTTTTTCATTTTTAGCTGTGCATAAATTTAAATATTTCACCCTTCAATTTGAGCACACGATTCCAGAACATTTTTTTTAAAAAAATTTTTATAGAGAGGGTAAGTATTTATAAGCATAACTATAGGGAGCAGTGGCCCATGTAAAATGCTAAATTTTAGCAATTTTTTATATTTTTTATAACATGAATATTTTCTTTACTTAAAGATATTTTGTAACTGGGAGTACATGTGTATAACCAACAGTTGCAAAAATATGCATTTTTATGGACATGGCGTCTTCAGTGCATGCATAAAAATTTAAATAATACATTTAACTTCTTACCTTTTCTCTGCTACATATCCTGTAGTGTCTTCTAACATTGCAAATAATTTAACCAGAGCTGCTTCTTTACTCTGATCCTATAAGAAACACACTTTAGCATGCTTTAATAAAAGTTAAACCCTGTTTTCCAAAACTGTTATATAAAATTACAGTAACTAAATAGGTGTTACTGTAATTTTCGGATAATTAAAGTAACTCGCATTTCGAACATGTGCCAAAATAGACATTTTTCCCCCCAGGGACAATAATAAAAAATAAGAAAAATTACATTCTTTTCAATCAATCACAAATAATGAAGCTTTCTAGCTATTTCCTACAGGACATTGCAGTTTTTCAGACAGTCAGCTGTTTCATCCGAGATTTTTTGGCACAATAAAAAAAAAATGTGCAATTAATTTCCAGTACAATCTGATGATATGACTAAAGAAAATTTTTCTGAAAGAAATGAAATCATTTCCAGGTGTTCATTTGATCACACAGCTAAGTTATTTTTGCGACATATACTAAAAATTTATTTCATCTCTTACTGATGGGACGTAATGGAATTAAAAATTTATTTACTTGCGGTTCCGTTTTTGAAGAAAGTAAGTATTGTACTACTGAGCAAAAAAATCGAAAATTTACTGACATTAGACTGAGACTGTCCAGAAGAGAAACTGTTGGCTTTTAGTACTGGTCATATGATTCAGTTAACTCCTGTGCTATTGGTGAATTAACACTCATCATTGTTAACTTGCAATTAGTGTTAACTCGCTAGCAGTTTTGTAATACTATTACAATCATTTTCTGTATAGGTACTGCAGTTTGGATCCTTAAGATATTGTTACGAACTTTGAATCTAAGTATTTAATTTTAGTGAAATTATCTGTGAAAACGCAGTTTTTTTTTTTTTTTTTTTTTGGGGGGGGGGGGAAGTCTAACGTTGGATGAAAATCTAAAGAGGCGATGCTTTGCCGGAAAAGTAAGAATACAGGAGCCAATCTATTTAATGTTAAGTAAATGGCTATCTTGATAGTTCGGCAAGAAATCACCAAAAGTCTTTTAATTTGGCTATCATTTGGCGACACTCTGGTCTGGTCCATGTATCATGATAATGTGTATTGTAACTGAATAACTGTAATTGATTCCATGGGTAGCTGTAACTGTATCCAGCTCTCATGTCTTCCAGTAATTTCGAGAAGTACTACAGATTTCTCAGCGGCCGGGTGAAATCTGTAGAAGACCAGAGATATTCAGATTCGACTACGAAGTATTGATCTCCCTGTTAGTTTTGCCTTTTAGCTGCACTTTGCATTGCATTCTCTCTCAAATCAGTAATTACACTTCAAACAATACACTTAATTACACACTGCATTGCATTCTGTCTTCAAAGTATCACAGTTCTCTGTGATACTTTGAAGAGTACGAGTATTTTTGTGGGAAGTTCCAGAGCTGTGAAGTGTTTCTTTTCGTAAAATAAATTTTATCAAGATATCATCAATTCTGTGTGCATTCTATCTATTACGAATCCCTATGCACTCAACAATATTGTCATAATTATGAAGTTGATCCGTTGACTTTGTATTATGTAATATGCCTTGTGATACTAGTTTTTTTAGAAATGATTAATAATTCAATAAAAATAACACTGAAAAAATTTCTAAAACTCATTATTATATGTCTTGATAAGACATATAATAATGAGTTTTAGAAATACTGGAATCTGTGGAAATAATGGATATAGGATAGTTTTATATGTAAACTGATTATTTCATATTCTTTAAGTCTCAGTTAGTATATAGAGATAAAAAAGAGGGAATATTTAATTAAATAAATACTATTGATATTACAAAAAATCCTACAAAATTAATTAATAAAAAATAAGTTGAAAAATATAGAATACATATCAGCCAGAAGTGACAAGGTTTCTGTATATTCACTAATTATAATCTTAAACATATTTAAAATGACAAATATATAAAACTTGCAGACCCTTTGTAACTGAATAGCCTGCAAGTTTCACAGAAAAAGAAATCAAAAGATCTGCACAAATAAAAAATAGGATTTTTTTGGTTTTTATTTTTAGTAAATGAATATGCACTAATTCAAATATAATTGGGTATTAATCATCATATACTTTACTTGTGAATGATGTGAAATGTAGTGCTGTAAATCGTCAATTATAATAGCCACAGGTAACAGCTGAGTTTTGTGGAATTCACAGAGGTATTTCAATAATCCAGCCGGATCTGTGATATAGCTAGTAGAAAAATATGAACATATGGAATAAGTATAATAATTTCTGAAATTAATAAAATAAGACAAATATTTAATTGGGCAGGAAGACCTTTTTAATGTATGTTTATCATCAAAAACAGATATTTTAACTAGCTAAATATTTTGGTAGTAACTTTTATTCATTGTCACAGAGAAATTACATCAGTAATTCAGTGGGCAGCCATAAAAGTTACCCGAATTTTCTTTATCACCACCAATAACAGGTAGTGTGACGGTAGTATAGCTGGAGGTAGGAGCGTATGGTGATCACTTAGCACAATGTCACAGTTTGAGCAAAGGGGGGCGAAAGTTCAAGTGCAGATTGGAGAAATCTGCTTCAGAGACTTTGATAGCCTTACAAACAGTTTACAGTGACGATTCTTTAAAGAAAACAACTGTTTATGAAAGATTTCGGGAGGACAGGAATTGCTGGAAGATAAGAGCCACGGTGGGAGACCTTCAACCTCCAGAAATGGTCGAGCAAGTGAAACAGTTAATTAGATCCAACAGAAGTTGGCGAGTGGCACAGGAAGTGTGAATTTTGCATGGATCCATTCACGCAATCCTGTCACATGATTTGAATAACATGTGTCACTGCCAAGTTTGTCCCACAACTGCTGAACCCGGATCAAATGTTAACTCGGCAGTTCACTGCAGCCAAATGTTTTGATACAAGCTCAGAGGATGCAGCATTGAGGTAATTGTTACTCGTGACAAGATTTGTATGTTTCGCTTACTACCCGGAGACAAAAATGCAGTCATCAGAATGGCACACAACATCCTTTCCTTGACCAAAGAAATAACGTCAAATCCGAAACAAAAGTGATGCTTATTGTGTTTTACAGCAATGGTATGGTGCACTATGAGTTTATACCAGCTGAAAAAACAGTTAATAGTCTTGTTTCATGCACGTTTTGTAAAGAATGAGAGAGACAATTGAAAGAAAATGTCCTGCCAAATGGCAAGGAGGATGGTCACTGCATCACGCCATTCCTCCCGTCACACATCGATTGTTGTGCATACATGGCTTGCAGAAAAGAACATTCCAGTCCTCCACCAGCCTCTCTATTCTCCGGATTTAGCAGCATCCCATTTCTGGCCCTTCCTCAAGATTAAAATGGGCCTCAAATGTAACTGTTTTGACATTGTACAAGACATCAGAACCAACACGATGGCTAAACTTTGGAAGCTACCACAACAGAACTTTCATTGTTGTTTCTAGAAATGGCAGGAGAGGTGGAGCAAAGTGTGTGTTCTGAAGGAAACTGCTTTAAAGGCGAATAAGTAAATGTGTATCTATAGTGTAAGTAATAAAGAGTTGAAACATAATTCCGGGAACTTTTTAACTGCCCCTCAAATCAAGTAATGTTAATAGAGAGAGTACATCATTTTAAATTCTCTTTATGAGAAATGGACATGGACATTAGCCCTGAAGGGCTATTAGTTTCAAAACGGCATTTTACATCGAATCACTTTAAATGCCCAAATCACTTTTCAGATTGTTGCCACCAAATATTATTACCCTGTTTTATATTTAAAGAAACTAAATAGTGAAGAATCTACATGGATGTATATATGTTTCTCACAATCTGTAAAAACAACGGTAACTAGAGTAATTAAATTTTGAATAAGATAGTCCTCCACCTCAACATGGGCACCTGGAAGCCCAACTTTGGAATTTGTTTTATTGCCTATTTTATATTTTGTAAAACTTTAACAAAGTTTTGATTAAAAAACTCAATAATTTCAAAGCAAGCAGTGGCAACACTGTAGAGAGTAATGTAAATGAAAAAAACGCCCATTTGGAAATCATATGAAATCTGAAAGCTTTCAGAATTTTTTTTTTTTTAAACTGTAGAGCATAATATACTTTTTCAACTACGTCATGATGGCCCACATACAACAGGGTTACCACTCAGAATATTATAGAATTTGAGAAAACATTGGCAGGCTTTTGTATTGGCAGACCGCTTACTCATAATTTTATTTCTATTCATTAAAAAAGAAAAATAATTGCAGCTTAATTCGCTTTCAGACAATTACCAGATTATAAATCTAAAGTGAATAACATCCATGAGAATATTAATAACATGTTTTAGATATTAAAAATATATTTGTATGACAATATTAATAATGGAATTTTTGTTTTGGAAAAATTATTAATTACTTGTGTGAAAATTCTTTCGAATACCAAATATAACAAAATTGTAAGTTAAAGAGAGAAAGAAATCACAAAGCAATATTATGGAATGCCATTTAAGGCGAAGAAGTCAACCTCGAATTTTTCTTATTTATTTATTAACTAATACCTCAATACAAATTAAATATGACAAATTTTGAAATTAAATATCTGGTTGTTCTCCGCCAAAAAAATCTTCTTAATAAAGGTAGGGGGGGATTGAAAGCAGTATCTTTAGTGCGAATAGTAATTAACATTCAAATCTATGTTTTTTTTTTCAACGTTTTGGTAGTTTTTCAAAGCCTTTGGCCCAGAAACTTGGTGGCCGCGAGTTCAAAAACAGATCAACCTCATTTTGGATGTCCTGTGCAAAATGGAAGATACCACCAGCAAGATGTAGCTGCAGGTGTGAGAAAAGGTAGAGGTCCGAAGGAGCGATGTTGGGGCTATACAGTGGGTGTGGCAAAAGAACACATTCGAGTCTGTACACAGTCCAGCTAGTGAGTGCAGACACATATGGTCTTGTATTATCTTGATAGAATATTACCTTTTTGTGTCGGAACTCAGTTCGTCTTTTTTTATGGACAGCAGCGTCAACACGCACTAGCGTCTCGCTGTAAACCTTAGTGTCGAGGGTTTTACCTTTTTCTAGCTACTCTTTGTGAATAATACCACGGCAATCCAACCAGATACAAATCATGATCTTTTTCTTAATCAAATTGTGCTCTGCGACGCTGCCGACATGTTCACCGGGCGCAGACCAACCACTTTTTGGCCTGTGTTGTTGAGGTAAACCCACTTTTCATCACAAGTGACGATCCGGTCCAGAATTTTGTTCTTGTATTGATATTCGAGCAGATTCGAGCAGGCCCGAACACATCTGTCCTTATCTGCTTGAGTCAGCTCATGCGGCACCCAGCTATTGAACTTGTACTTCAAGTTTATGCGATGTATAGCACGACTAATGGACATGGCACTAACGTCTAATTCCTCAGCAAGCTCTCGAGTGGTTGCATACTGATTTTTTTCTACAAGTTCTCGCAGGCGGGCCTCATCAACATCAGTAGGCCGACCAGAGCGCTGTGCCAAAGAACATCTACATATTCTTTGGCTCTGCTTCTTGAATGTCATAAAACTTGTTTTTGAACTTTCGGTACCATACCTTCAGAGTGTCATATGATACAACATTAGTACCTACAGCTATGCACCTAACTTAATGACATTCTGTAGCTGACTTTTTGCAACAGAACTGGAAGTAAATGATGTCTCTAATGTGGTAGCGTAATAGTTCTATTTCAGACACCTTGTACTTAAAAGATAATGATACTTTTGCACAAATTTTACAATACAGTATTGTAGAGTAAGTCTCTTTCTTTCAATTGACAAAATATGATTAAATACATCAACACGAACTGTTTGAGCAGACGATATTTGCGGTGAAAACTTTCGTTAAAACCCGATATCTCGTTTAGTTTTTTCATACAGGAGTGAAACTTTTTGCGTTTTAGTTTTTTAGAACAACTACAAGATCTTAATGAACATTAGTATAGTACCCAGAGAAACGCATAAAAAATTAAATTTCGTAATTTTTACAAAACTTATTTCTTAATTTAAAAATGCTTACTTGCATCATTTAAAACTTTTTTAACTAGAAATATATGGGTACGACCAACGGTTGCGAAAATAAAGGCCAGGTATAGACTTTTGTGAATACGATGTGTAGTCTTATGGCGACATAAAAAGACTACATGAATTTGTCGCCAGAATTGAATATAACAGGGTTGGCCAAACTTCATGTCAGTAACAGTCGAGCGTTTGAATTCAAGAATGTTTGAGAGCCACATCTAGATTTTCTAAAAGCCACACGTTCATATTTACATCATTATAGAAGCAGTGGAGGAGATTTTAAATGGAAAAAAAACCCAATAACTTTGTCAAAAGACTCTAAACTAATTAATTACTTCTTTTCGGGCACCGAATAGTTTTAGTTTACCATATTTCATACATATATTTTATATGCACGAGCCGCACAAACTGCCTCCGAGAGCAGTATCAGGCTCGCGAGCCGCACTTTGGCCACCCCTGGAATATAAGAAAAATGTACTATTTTTCAATGTTTTAATGATCTTTAATCTGTTGTCGCCTCTACTAGTATGCATCTATAAAGATGAGGGATATCTAATGGTATCATGGGCTCTCAGGTTAATAATATTTAACCCTTTCAGTCCCAATTTATTTGTTTGTTTCAACTGACTTGGTTCTTTTATGTATTTTTGGTAATTATCACAAATGACATAAATGACATTGACAGAAATTGGCAGTCTGTAACTAAGCCTCTATAAGAAGAGGCTCGCGATAATTTTGTAGTGAGGATGTTAGAAATGATGCCTCCTACCAGTGGGACATTAACTATGTAATAAACTGATGCGCGTAATTCCCTCTAGGCTTCTTTAAACATCTAATGGGACTTATACACTGACTACCAATAAGTATTTGGACACCTGTGATAGAAAAGAAAAACTAACTTTATTCAAAATCAATAGTTGATAGAGCCTCCACGAGAGGTAATTACAGCGTAGACCCTCCGGGGCATACTTTCCACAAGTCTTTGTATGACAGCTAGTGGTATTTTCTTCCACTCGGCTTGGAGAGGACATAGAAGTTCCTTCACCGATTTTGCACGGGTAGTGCACCCCTGAATTCGGCGATGCAACTCGTCCCAGAGGTTCTCGATAGGGTTCAGGTCTGGACTCAGGGCAGGCCAGTCCATTCAATGAACTCATTGGCACCATACCAAGCCTTGGTTAACGTCGAAACATGACAACTGGCATTGTCGTCCTGAAAGTAACAGGGGTCCAACCCGTAAGACTGCCACAACGTAGGAAGCACATTGTCATCCAAAATAGTGCAGTAGGCATCGGGGTTGAGCTTACTATGAATGGGGACCAAGGGTTCCAGCCTATACCAGGAGAAACACCCCCAGATCATAATTTCACCTCCGAACTTGACTGTTGGCACAATGCATTCTGGCAGGAGACGTTCTCCAGGTAGACGCCAGACCCAGACCCTGCCATCCGAACGGTAAAGGGTGAACCTTGATTCGTCACTCCAAAGAACCCTTTCCCACTGATCTACGGTCCAATATCGATGTGCTTTGCACCACATTAACCGAGCAGCGCGGTAGGACGCGGTGATCAAAGGCTTATGGGCAGCAGCACGACAATGAAAACCAAGCAGATGTGTTTCCTTACGAATGGTATTCATTGAAACAATACTCCCGGATGCCTGTTTTAGTTCCTCGCGGATGAGGGCTATCGGTTGGGTGCGGTTCTTCCGAATTTCTCTGGACAGCACTCGTCGGTCTCTATCTCTCAGTTTCGCTGGTCTGCCGACTCGGGGCATATTTCGACAATCACCGCTCACCTTCCACTTCTTAATCACATAGGACACTGTCGATTTTGGGTACTTCAGATTGCTAGATATGTCCCTTAAGGATCGGCCACATTTGTGATACATGATAATTATACCTTTCTCGAAATCAGAGAGCTCCGAACTGCGAGGCATCTTGCATGCGACTAAAGCCGATGCTGTTTCCTACACGATATATACCGGCGGAGTCCGTGACGTACCTTAGGATCGCAGATATCGTCACTTGCATAGGTGTCCAAATACTTATTGGTAGTTAGTGTATAACCCATTGGGAATGAAAGGGTTAAGATTATTATATACACCAGTTTTTTTCAAGAATAACAAACATAAAGATAGATTTAGCTTCTATATTCATGAAGCCCTAGGGCAATGCACATTAAGACAAGCACCTATGGAGAGTGGCAGAAAGCAAAGATATTTCAGAAATAAAACTATCTTCCATTAGCACTAAAAATCGCAAGACTAAAACTGTTTTGTAATTACACGTGAGCCACACAAATTAGTTCTGTTTCCGGGATTCCTCTTTCCATGTTTTTTAAAATTCTTCCTGTTTCCGCGAAATCGGAGAGTACAGTCCCCCTCTCACAGCTCCTCAGGAGATGTCACGATGAGTCATTAAGAAGAGCTGGGCAGTTTCTTTGTGAATAATTAATAGTCCTCGTTAGATTGAAGACGTGTTAGTTTGGGCTCCTCTCGCAATGTTTAGTTTCATTCCATTTGTAATTCTACTACAATATTAGCTGTAATTTTTACATCTTATGTTAATCAATATGGATGTTTTCAGTCAATATTGGAACTAAAAGGAAAAAAAAAAAAAAAAAAAAAAAAACACTTTAACCCCTTATAAATGTTATCAGTATCGAATTCAGAATAAAAATAATGAAAATGTAGTTTATTGGATTTACTTAATTGAAACAATTAAAAGCTGCAAAAGCGCAATTAAGACCAAAGAAGTCGTTTTAGAAGAAAGAACGTCGTTTTAAAACGAATATATATTCGTTATAAAACGATAACTCACCTTTCTGATGACGGTTTCTGATGGGCCTCACGGTTTCTGATGGGCCACTTGAAAAATACATTACTTTCAAGTAATATTATATTACACAGAAATACCGCAATATTTACGTCATTTTCGTTTAAAAACGTCAACAAGATATTTTAAAGAAAATTTATTTAAAAAAATTTTAATTTTACTTACACCATTTTAATGCATTCAAGGACCAAAGGAGTTGGTTCAATCATCCCAGAAACGTGCAATGGCCTTTGCATAAGTGGCGAGGGACATATAAAAATAACTTGATCACTGTCACTGGCATAAGACAGAGCCGCTTGAAAAAGAAGAGAGGTTCTTAACCTGTAGAAAAACATATATTTAATAAATGCATTTTGATCAATTTGCTTTTCGAAAGAGTTCAAAGGAAACTGATCAAAATGAGTTTAAATTAAATTGTTAATAATAATAAATCAATTTGTTAATTAATGAGTTTAAACTTTATTTCTTTCTAAGCATTTAAAATTACAATTTCTGTTAACTTATTTGTATGGTTTTAATTTCTTTGTTGATTTAATATCAAGGAAAAATCAAATTTATTATGGAAAAGTTTAAATTTGTTGATTCCGTGATTTAAATGACACGGAAATCTAAATTTTCATAATATATATTTTAAATAAGATATTAAATTAATTTAGATCAGAAAATATGCGCATATGTTTATTCGTTCACAATAAATTATAACTTATTGCAAGCAATTAAATATGATGCACAAATTCTTTCATTTTATTCATTTATATGAACAGCTATCTTAACATACCACCATATATCACTGATACACCATTGTATATCATTTGGTAAATGTGTAAATTTTCAGAAACACTTCACATTATGTTTGCTAAGTACGTAATTTAGAAATACATTGGAACCTCGAGATACGAGCCCCTCTACATACGAGAAATTCGAGATACGAGGAAAGTATGAGCGAAAAATTCGTCTCTAAATACGAGCATTGACTCGAGTAATGAGCAACGAGCCAGGCTTTTGGTATGCGTGGCCCGTTTTCCGATCCGGCAACTCGGGGAATACCCTCGTCAGATCACTCAGTGTTCTTTGATCTACGTGTTTGTGCGCTTGTGAGTTAATTATTTTTTACATTTAACCTGAAAATAATTATTTCACGATGACACCTAAGAAGATTGCTGCCTCAGATAGTGCTGCAAAGATAAAGAAGGAAGCCATGACCGTTGAAATTTAGAAAGAAATCATAGTTGAACATAAGCTTGGTGTAAGAGTGAAGGAACTGGCAAAGACTTACGGCCGTTCGACATCGACGATCTGCACTATTCTGAAGAAAAAGGAAGAAATTAAGAAACTTGATGTGTCCAAAGGAGTTACAGTTATTTCTTAGCACCGTTCAAAACTCCTAGAAGATGTTGAGAAGCTGTTGTTGGTGTGCATTAACGAGAAGCAATTAAAAGGCGATTCGGTGTCGGAAGCTATCCTTTGTGCTAAGGCTAAGAATCTGTACTTGGACCTTCTCCGAAAAACACCAGGTACGTCTACTGAATATGAGATAGTAATGAGATTTTTGGGGGCGCGGAACGGATTAACTGGATTTCCACTATTTTCAATGGGGAAGTTGTTTCTAGGTACGATAAATTCGCTATACGAGCTCAATGCTGGAACGAATTAAACTCGTTATCTCGAGGTTCCACTGTTTTAGCCCTGCCTAAAAAAGTACATTTTACACTCTTTTTACTTCCTTGTATGAAGTAAAAAGGAAGTATTGTAATCACGAAAAGCTTCAGGAAGCATATTTCAACGAAAATATCCACTTTGACCGCTTTCGAATGCAATTTAACGATGTTTTTGCGTGATATCTGTACGTAAGGACAGAATAAAAGACTCTTTTCCTCCAAAAAACCTAAAAAAACTGCTTTAAAATGAATTCTGAAGAGAATTTTTCGCGGCGTCTGTACGAAGGTACGTATCTCGCGTAACTCAAAAACAAGTAGCCTCAGAACGTTGAAATTTTGTATATAAATTGGTTTCAATCGGCCGCGCCGTATATAAATATATTTATAAATATATCCACTCTGTTACCCGGCTCAGTGATCTCAGTTTCTTTACTCTTATATGTTTGTAAATTGTACATTTTTTGCTTTAAAAATGATTGAATTATGTGTTTTTATCTTCCGGTTAAGGGTTTTATGCCTTTAGTAAATCTGTATGCAATATTATTTTTAGAATTATCAACAATTTTAAAATTGTTTTTAAGTGCCGCTAAGCCTAATTTGATGGCGGCCATTGTTCTTGTTTACATTTGAAAACAGCTGAGTAGCGGATTGTTGCCAATCTAGAGAAACTTAGCTTCGCAACAACAAAGATAACGCCTTCATTTATTATTGCGAATTAAATCATGCTTAATCCTTTCTGGAATTTTTTCGAGGAAATAAGCGTTTAAAATTTACTTCGTAATTTTTAATACAGATATTTTGAGTTTTTATGTATTTTTGCCTTGTCGCGAAGTGAAAACTGAATTAATTGAATGAGAAATACTCAATCGTCTGTGAAAAACTGTTTCTTTTTTGTTTTGTTTGCTTAATTTCTTTTATACATAATTCTAGCTTTATTATAGTATTTGAATAGAACATGTGGCAGTTAGATAATTCTTTAAATGATATAAATTTTGTGCATTCTGAGTTATAATATGAACGAAATATAATACTGTTAAGTAAACCTAGCGCCAGAGTGTCGCTATGGTAAACAAAGTGAATTTTAAAGAATGGCATTTATTCTATTGTGGTTTATGCGCTGTCGGCGAAGTAGGTTTAATTCAATCTAATAAGTTTAAATAAAATGCAAGAAAAAATGCGTATAATTTAATGCTCCGTACAAGGAAGTCATGTGGTGTACACATCAGATTTTTTTCAGAAATACAAAGTGTTTTTTTTGGGGGGAGGGGACTAAACAATTGTCTAAGTAAAATAGAATAAATGAAAGAATAAAATTTCCTTCCTCACCTTACAGTAAATACGTGTCTGGTCAAAAGAAAAGATCTTTATCTGTACGGACTGTAGTCCGAATTTCCCTGATCCTGGAGTTATTGCTTTTTGTGTTATTGAGAAATAGTTTTGTTGTTTAATCCGTTTTCTTTAAGGGAAAAAAAACTGCATAAATTGTCCTGGTTTTTACAATACTGAACAAGAAACATCACCGTTTAAAGATAAAAAGCTAAGTAAAATTGTCTTAAACTGGTGTATTGGTGTATTTAATTATGGCAAAGCACACTAGGGCTATCTGCCTAAGAGGAGGGATGCCTTCGTGGAGGACTTTCCAAGGGAAACTGGCTCGTATACACGTTACACATGGGGAAAAACCACGAAAACGCCCATGCAGCCAGCCCGTTCGCGGTATTCGAACGTCGGACCGAACTACCAGTGTTCAGCGACTTTACCGCTCGGCCGCTGGTGGGCTGTCTTAAACTGGATATTAAAACTTATCCAGAAATTTGACTTAATGTCTGTCAATTAAGCAAAGTTACGGGTAAAAAATGTAAGTAATAGCAAGCAAACACTAAAATATAGTAGTGCTTTCTACGTAGTTGTTCTGTAGGCTGAATAGAGAGAAATTTAGGATTATGGCTTATCAAAATTTAAGTGTATCAACTGTAGATTAAAGTGATTCTGTAACAGACACTTTTACAGATAAATACAATCTTGAAAAACATGCATTTTCTTTCGCAACTCTGCTGAGTTTCACTTGCATAGAAATGCTGAGAAAGCAATTCAGAATTTTTTTTTTTTTTTTTTTTTTTTTTTTTTTTTTTTTTACTGTAAGCTACTAGTGAATGCCAGTACAAAAGTGGTTTATGAAGTTCCAAAGTAAAAATTTTAGGGCAACTTGAGAACAGACCTAAAATTGGCTGATCAAGGGCACTAAAATCGTTGATACAGCCAAATCCGATGCCATCGTGGAGAGCCTTTTAAGGGAAACTGATTCGAATTCTTCTTTTGATAACAAGAAAGGAAATGGAGCCTTTCTTAAGATGTACTGTGATTAGAGTTTTAAAATGTATTATTTCCGCTAATACTGATCTAAAAACATATTGGCCGAAGCTTAAAGAGAAGCAAAAACCCACAATAAGACCAAGATTGCATTTAGAGAAGATTTTGCTCAGCATATAGATCGTATATGGAATATTTGATTTATTTAGTACCGTTGCAATAACTAAAACATTAATACAGATAAATTTTGAGATCAGATAGATTACTTGAAATGGCTTTAACAACTAAACGACCAGTATTAATGAATGGATGTGGCGTGATTCTTAAATCCCATGCAGCAAGAATGATGCAATAAAATTGTAATGCTTTATGATGGGAAATTCTTTCTTGTCCGCTTGAGTCCACTTACTGCCTCTTTACTGTACTACTGATTTTCACCTGTTTAGTTAAGAGTCATAAGATTGTCTTAATGTCAGATTACCTTCTAAGAGCGCTGCAGGGGTTTCTTAATAGCAAATAACCTACTCAAGTCACTAAAGAATTTTCTTAACGATAAAAATATCCACAGCAAACAACAGATGTAATAAATGAATATTTTATGGCAAAGCCACAAGAATTCTTCCAAAAACAGGATCGAAAAGTTCCCTAAAAATGGACTATAGAGTCTATAGAAAATAATCGAGACCACATTCTTGATTACGGCATACTTTTTCTTTTCGGGGTGGGGTGTGTGTGTGTGTGGGGGGGGTAAGAGCGAGTGCTTTATCTCGACTCAGCATAACTTCTTGATTAATCCGATAATTCAAGACCCCACTAAACGAAATAGAAAGATTTGACTACAGATGAAGGCATTTTGAATCGAAAATTCAAACTTTAATCAAAATATTACTCGGCACAGTGCTGAGAAATTACGACATTGGATTCCTCTTAATGCAAACTCATACAGACTAACAAAACTGTTCAAATTATTGGGGTTATTCGGGAATTTAAATCCAGAACTAATTACTGAAATCATTATTTCTTAACTGAGAATTTAATTTTTGTTTGAGTTAACCGAAATTTCAAATTACCGAATTTCGAAGCAACAAAAATTCATCGCGTATGCAAAACAAATTACGTATAACATATCTGGAAACAAAATTATATACATACAATACTATGCAGAGAATGAACAAAATTTACCCCCCCCCAGATATTTTGAATTTATTACAATATAATGTGAAAATAAAAGACAATTTTTCACCTGAAAGAAGCAACTGATGGCCGCACCTAGGACCTCCAATACGGTTAAATTTCACATTTCTGAGTAAGCCTAATACCAAGAATAATCAAGACTTGCATTATTCGTGGTCG